TCGTCGCCCGCGCCCGCGAGGGCGAGCGTCGCGGGCAGCGTCACGGCGCCGACGCAGAGGCCCGCCGCGAGCATGAGCGCGTAGGCGTTGAAGTAGTAGACGCGGATGTAGAGGTAGTCGTTGAACGCGAGGGCGAGGAAGCCGAGGAACGTCGTGCAGGCGCCGTCGACGACGGGCGGGAGGTAGGCCTCGAGCGCGGCCGCGGCGCGCGCGCGGCGGCCGCCGGCGCCGGCGAGCTGCGCGTGGCACGCGTGCGCGAGGAACTCGACGGCGACGCCGAGCGACATGACGAGCGTCACGGCCGTGAAGCAGTTGAGGAGCACGCCCGCGTGGACGAGGAGCGCCGCGAAGGCGACGACGACCGCGGCGACGTTGGCCGCGAGGACGAGCGCGACGCGCGCCGCGGCGGCCGCGGCGCTCGCCGTCGGCCGCCGGCCGGGGCCCGCGCCGAGGAAGAGGGCCGCGGCGCCGAAGATGGCGGCGAGCGCCGCGCCGAGGCCCCGGAGCGTCGCCGCCGGGAGCCAGCGGAACTGGCTGTAGAACTTGAAGAGCGCGCCCGACGGGTACGCCTCGACGCCGGCGTCCGCCGCGAAGCCGTTGAGCGCCTTCCGGACGCTGTCGATCATGGTCACCCACTGTTTGCCCTCCTCCAAGTCCCGCGCCCAGACGTTGGACTGGGCGAAGTCGAGGTCGCCGGCGCCGTCCGCGCCGCGCCAGACGCGGCGCGCGAGCGACGACGCGTTCCGGGGGATCGCGTCGCAGGACACGGGCGCCGCGCGGCCCCGCGCCGGGTCCTCGCAGTTCCAGCCGGGCGACGTGAGGCCGTGGGCGCTGTCCGAGTTGAGGAAGAGGTTCAGGCAGGCGTAGAAGTGGTCCGGGTGCACGCCGAGCACCGTCGTCGCGCCGGCCGCGATGTTCGCGTCGAGCTCGGGCGTGAGGTGGCCCTCGAAGCAGGGCGCGCCGCCGCAGAGGAGGAGCTGCACGGGCCAGGCGCTGCACGCGGGGATGGCGCCCGCCGCGAGGCCGCTCCCGCCGCCGGCGAAGAGGGCCGCCTTCGTCGCCGCGAGCGCGTGCTCGTCGGCCCGGAGCGCCGCGGTCGAGACGCGGGGCCCGCACGCGCCCGGGGGCGCGCCGAACTGGTCCGAGGTCACGCAGCGGCCGTTGTAGAGCGCGGCGCCGCCGAGGCCGCCGTACCAGGCGCTCGACGCGCACGCCGCGCGGACCTCGTCGGCCGCCATCGCGTCGCCGCCGGCGAGCGACGCCCCGCCGCACGGGAGGCACCACTGGAGGAAGACGGGGTACCAGTGCACGGGCCCCGCGTTCGTGCGCTTCGCGTCGACGACGCGGTTGAGCAGGCTGTCGCGGCCCGGGTCCGCGAGGGACGCGAGGAGCGGGTGCTTCCGCGGCCAGTCGCCCGCGCCCGTGACGAGCCAAAAGTTGTTCGTCGTGAGCCGCGGGCCCTTGGTCTCCCAGAAGATCGCCGGCGACGAATTTTCGGGGAAGATGGTCGCCAGGGGCATGCCCATGGCGTAGCGCGGCAGGCCCGAGCCGGCGAGGCCGCCGATGGCCGCCGCGGACGCCGCGACCGCGGCGAACCGGCCGCGCCGAGAGGTGACGGCCCCGGCGTAGGCCGCGAGCGCGCGCGCCGCCGCGGTTCGGGCCTTGTCTTCGGCGCCCGGGGCGCGGGGCGCCGCGACGCGCGCGTAGACCCCGAGGCACGCGGCGACGCCGACGACGACGCCGGCCCAGGTGCCGAAGAGCCCGAACGCCGCGAGGCGCGCGAATTCGGAGACGATGCGGACGTCGACGAACGCGGCCGCGACGGAGAACGCGCAGACGTTCGCGAGGGACGTGAGCGTGACCGACGCGCCCGCGGACGCGACGACGGCGGCGACGGCGTCCTCCGGCGCCCGTCGCCCCCGCAGCGCGGCGAAGCGGTGGCCGAAGACGAAGAGGTCGTTGACGCCGAGGCCGAGGAGCAGGAAGGGCAGCACCTGGACGCCGAGCGCCGAGAACTCGCGGCCCGCGTAGGCGCCTAGCCCTAAACCCGCCGCCGCGCCGCCGACGACGCACGCGACGCCCGCGAGCCCGAGGAGGCCGCCTTTGAGCCGGTTCGCGGCCGTCGGCGCCGCGCCGGGAGCGCGCGCGGCGAACGCGGCGGCCGCGTAGGCGACGACGAGCGCGTAGCCGAGGCCGAGCTGCCACGCCGTCGGCACCGTCGCCGCGGCGACGGCGTCCTCCGTGTCCGTCGACGCGAAGGTGCCGTGGAGCATGGACCCGGAGCCGTCGCGGCCTTTGAGCACGCGGCCGAATTTCGCGAGCCACGCGCGGCGGCCCGCGTCCGCCGCGTGGCGCGACAGCGCCGCCGCGCCGCCGCGGGCGACGACGGCGTCGCGCACCTGGGCCTCGCCCCGGCTCACGTAGACGGCCTGGAGCGCGCGCGCGCCGGTCTCGGCGTCGACGTCGCCGACGGTGAGCTCGCGCGACAGCCCGGGGAGCACGTTGAGGCCCGGCGGCCCGCCGTCCCAGAGGTAGCACGGCCCGTCGAGCTGGCCGCCGATGCGGATGAGCTCAAACTCCGTCGCGAGGTTTGGCCCCAGGAGCTCCCAGGCCGCGTCGTTTTCGACGAACGCCGGGCACGCGTTCGCCCCGCCGAGCACGCAGAGCACGCCGTCGCGGAGCGCCGCGACGTAGGTGGCGGCGTCGCCGCCGGCGGCGGCCGCGCGCGCGCAGCCGGTCAGGTCCGTCGACGGCGGGCCGCCCGTCCCCGAGCCGAGCGCCGCCGCGTAGGCCGACGACACGGGGTAGAAGTCGAAGGCGCCGCACGCGGGGAGCGCCGCGTGGGCCGCGTCGTAGAGCGCGTTCGGGGCCCAGGAGGCCGCGCCGAGCGCCGCCGCGTAGGTTTCGCAGGCCGCGGCGGACGCCGGGTAGCCCTCCGGGCCGCGGCCCGCGCAATATTCGTCGCCGCGCGCGCAGAGCGCGCACGCGGCGTAGATTTGCCCGAGGTCGCAGCAGTGGAACTCGCCGCAGCGGCCGACGGGCTCGCCGACAAAGGGCGGGCGGCAGGCCCAGGCGAAGGCGAGCGACGGCGCGGACTTGACGAAGTCGACGGCGTAGGCCCGGTGGAAGTCGTAGGCGGCGGCGAGCGGGCCGTGGCGGCCGCGCGCCTTGGGTCCGTCGACGAACTTGCGGCAGTCGCCGAACTGGTGCGGGTCGAGCGTCGGCGTGTAGGCGACGGCGAGGCGCCCGTAGAGGCACCAGTCGTAGGGCGTGTGGCGCCGCGCGCCGGGTTCTTCTCCGAACGGCGCGAGCATCTCGTCCGCGAGCGCCGAGAGCGCGCCCGCGCCGAGGCCGGCCAGCGTCCCGAAGTAGTCGTAGGCGCCCTCCTGGAAGCAGTCGAGGAGCGTCTGGCGCAGGGGCTGGCCGCCCGCGGACGCGAGCACGTCCATCGCCTCGTAGCGGACGCCGCCGACCTCGACCGCGACGTCGAGCACCGCGCGGTCCTCGAAGAAGTTGATGGTCTGCGCCAGGTTCGCGCGCGCGAGCACGTTGCGGTCGCCGCGCGTCGCCCGCGCGTTCGTCGCCTGCGAGCTCCTGCGGGGGGGGGGGGGCGCGGGTCGCGCGCGCGTTCGGTACGGGGGGGAACGGCGCGGCGCGACGCGCGACGTGTAGCCCTCGTCCTCGTGGCGCGCCGTGTTGTCGCTCTCGCGCTCGAGCCGCGAGCCCGGCCGCAGGATCAGCGAGTCGAAGAGGTCCACGTCCGCGCGCGCCGCGGTGAAGAGGCCGCTCACGAGCGCGGCGCAGACGACGGCGGCGGCGGCGAGGGCGACGAACGGCCGCCGGCCGATGGCCAAGCCGAATTTGTAGAGGAGCGTTTCATCTTCTTCGATCGGGGGCGAGGCATCCGCCTCTGCGGCGGGGGCGTCGACGGGCTTTGACATCAGGGTTGCACACAAGAACCGGTGCAAGAACCGGTGCACCTGTGCACAGCTGTGATGGATTTCGCTCGCCGATCCCTGCCGATCCCTGCCGCAAGTTCCTCGGGTCACACGCACGCACCGGGCCGCGACGCGCGACCAGCTGGCACCGAGTTTGTTGCCGTGCGCGCAGACACGCATCAGCCGATGGCGGCCGAACAGGCTCGCGCGTCGCGCTCGTTCATACCGGCCGGATCGAACGCTCATGGAAAGAAGCTCAAACTGCGGATCAAATTTAGCTCGCGCTCGTACGGTGGCCGGGGATACGCCTCGGGCGAGTTGATGGTCATGGACCAGAGCGGCGCGATGGTGCCCCCGGTCAATTTTGACCAGTACCGGCGAGAGCAGTTCCGCGAAGCCTGCGCGGTTCTTCAGTCGATCCAAGATCACGCGGACGATGTGGACAGTGATGATGATGAAGCGGAAGAAGAATTACGCGAAGATTTCCGATCGTGTATGCAGGGCTTGGATCTGCCTGTCCCGTTTGAACGCCTTTTCAGCAAGATGAGTTACGAGGCCGCGAATGGGATCCTCGAAGCTCAGCAATACCGCAACCGCTGGCGCGAGGTCAGCCAGGCGCGCATGGTCTGCGAGCGGCGCGTGAGTGCGGACGCGTTAAATGTCATCTTCGGCTTCCTCGGCGGCAAGTTCGGCGTTCGCGCGCCGTTCATGCTCCGGCGCGACATTTCTGGGGCCATGATCGATCTCCTTTACGAATACAACGCGTATCAGAACGACAATATCGATGAGGAGGATCCGTACGACATCGCCGCCGTTGATGGTGCAACCTTCGAACACGGCTATCACTCGGGCCGATTTAGTGCTTTGCGCTGGGTGGTCCACTGGGAAGGCGAGACGGACAGCGACTCGGACAGCGAATTTTCGGACGAAGAGGACGACGGAGAGGACGAGGATTGGTTCTAGGATGTGCACGACCCGCCCTCGGGCCATGCTCCACCGATGATAAGAGCGCGACGCTTAGAGGCTCGGCACCGCGGCGATGTCCTCGGGCGGCGGGTAGGCGAGGCCCGCGAAGCCGACGCGGGCGACCTTGCGGCCCGCGACGGCGCACGCGGCCTTGAGCGCGGTCTCGAGGTCTTCGCCCCGGAGGCGCGCGGCGATGAAGGCGCCGTTGAAGGTGTCGCCCGCGCCGACGGAGTCGACGGGCCGCACGCCCGGGAGGACGCCGCAGCGAAAGGCGTCGACGGCGCCGGCCGCGTCGACGGCGACGGCGGCCGCGCCGCCCGCGCCCCAGGCGCAAGTGAGCACGCGGGGCCCGCCGATCGCCGCGGCCTTGGCCGCGAGGAAGGCCGCCGGGTCCGCGAAGCCGTCGCGCTCCGCGCGCTCGCGGCTGTAGAAGACGACGTCGACGCGGCGCTCGAGGTCGTCCAAAACACCGTCGAGCTTCTCGAGCTCGAGGGACGCCGTGGTCCGCGCGCCCTCGAGCGCCGCCACGCAGGTTTCCAATGCGCCGCGCGCGCCCGCGCGGCCCTCGAGGTGGACCCAGTCGTAGTCCGCGAGCGGCGCGGATTGCGCGTCCGCCGCGTCGAGCTCGCCGAGGTCGCCGCGCGCGTGGACGATGGTCCGCGACCCGTTCGACTCGGAGAGGATCACGTAGGACGTCGGCGCGGACTCGCAGCGGGGCCGCTCGACGGGCAGCGCGCCCGCGCCGTGGCGCCGGAGGTCCGCGAGCAGGAACTCCGCGTCCGGCGACCCGCGGCGCGGCGTCGCGCCGAGCCAGTCCGCGGCGACGCCGCACTGCGCGGCGACGCACGCCGTCGTCGACGCGTTGCCGCCGCGCGCGCGCCGCTGGCCCGTCGCGCGGCAGCACTGGTCCTCGCCGGGGAACGTGAAGACGCTGTTGACGACGTCGACGCAGGCGAGGCCCACGGACAGCAGCCGCGGCCGCGCCGGCGCCGCCGCGGCCGCGGACCGCGCCGCGGCGAGGCGCGCGCTCGCCTCCACCGTCGCCACCTCCATCTGCGAGGCCATGGCTGTGGCAATTGCGAGAGGCACCTGAGGGACAAGCAACTTTGTTGAAGTGATTATAAAAGTAAAACAAGGATGGCTGCCCAAACCGGTCGCTCTCGCAGCGCGACCGAAGCGCGCTGAGGCTGGGACGACCGCGGCGCCCCGCCGGAACGCTCTCGCGGTCGTCGATTCCGAAGGGCGATGCGGCCGGGACGACCGGTGCGCCTGCTGCGCCTGGTCGCGGTCGTCGTCGGCGCGCGGGGCCAGGCGCCGGTGCCGAACTTCTTGGTCGAGGTGCGCAGCGGCCGCGACGCCGCGGCCGCCGTGGCGACGGTGGCGTCGGCCGTCGTGTCGGCGGCGGCCGGTGGTGGCGGCCGGGGCCTCGAGTTCACGATCGCGGCCGCGGAGCCCTTCGACGAGCTCGGGCGCTTCGCCGGCGCGATGCGGCTCGCGCGGGCGCTGCTCCGGCCGCCGGGCGGCGGCCGCAACGCGGCGCACGTCGACGTCGTGCCCCTCGACGGGCCCGTGGAGTCGCTCGTCGACGGCGTCTTCGTCGTCCTCGACGCCGGCGCGTGCTTTTTCGGCGACCCCGGGTCGCTCTTCGACGGCGTGCTCGCGGGCGCGCCGCCGGCCTGGGACGGTTTGGACTGCGGCGCCGCGGCGTTTCTCCTCGACGGCCTCGTCGACGCCGGCGGCGACCTCGGCGGGGCCGCCGCGGCCGCGGACGCGCTCGTCGCCGCCGGCGGGCCGCGCGCGGCGCTCGGCGAGGCCGTCCTATCGCTCGGCGACGCGTGCGGCGTGCGCATCACGGCCGTCGGCGACGACTTCGCCTGCGAGAAGTACCGCCAGTGCACGCTCAAGTGGACGAGCGCCCGCGGCGCCGGGCCCCTGACCCTCGAGGTCGTCGCCTGGGACACGTCGCTCGCGACGACGGCGGACGTCGTCGACGACGGCGTCGACACCTTCGTCGTCCGCGAGGGCGGCGTCGGCGACGGCTTCATCGCGCGCCTCGGCCGCGGTGGCAACTGCGCGCCGGCGACGCGCCGCTTCGCCGTCTTCGCGGGCCCGCGCGGCGCGACGACGACGTGCGTCGACGCCCGGGCGGGAAACAAAAATATGCAACACGACTTCAATGTTCATGTATGTGCACCCCATCGACGTACGTTCGTCGCTGTCTGAAAACTCGCCGAGAGAAAACGTTTCGTCCAAAAATCAGCCCAAACGACTTTGACCGAGATAGAGAGGTTTGACGGTTTTTCCCGGACGGGGCGCTCCACGGGTTGTTTCGCACACAGGTCGACGCGGCGACGGGCGAAGAGGGGCCCTGCGGCCCGGGCGTCGAGGCCTGCGACGGCGACGCCGACCGGCGGCGAAGCGAGGGGCCCCGGTTCCACCTCAAGGACCGCCTGGGCTGCGGCATGAACGACCCCGCGGGGCCCTTCTTCGACGCCGAATCGGGCGTGGTCCACGTCTTCTTCCAGAAGCACGTCGCGGTGCCGCCGGGCGGCGGCCCCGTCTGGGGCCACTTCGCCACCAAGGACCTGCGGCGCTGGGCGCAGCTGCCCGTCGCGCTCTGGAACGGCCCCGGCGACGACGCGGTCTTCACCGGGAGCGCCGCGGCCGTCGGCGGCGCGCCGCGCCTCCTCGCGGCCGTCGTGCGCCGCGGCGGCGCCGTCGACGTGGAGACGTACGCGCCCGCGGACGCCGGCGACGCGCTCCTCGCGGCCTGGGCGCCGCGCGGCGCCGGCGCGGCCGGCGCGGCGCGCGACCCCGCGGCGCCGTGGCGCACGGCCGCGGGCGAGTGGCGCTTCGTGGACCACGACGCCGTCGAGTATGCCTCGGCGGACTTCGAGTCGTGGCGCAGCCTCGGCGCCAACGGCGCGCTCGGCCCGGCCTGCGAGTGTCCGAGCCTGTTCCCCAATCCCGGCGCCGGGCCGGGCGACCCGACGCACGTCCACAAGCTCTCCTGCCACGTCGACGGCGTCTCCGGCGACTGGTGGCGCCTCGGCGACGTATCCGAGCCCGCGCCGGGCGAGGCCACGGGCTTCGGCCCCGCGGCCGGCTGGGCCGACGCCTTCGAGTGGCACCCTGTGTGGAAATCAACCACTGGTTTGGGGGGTCCCCACCAAACTTCAGAACTCTCTATCTCGGTCAAAGCGAAGTCGATTCGGCTGATTTTTGGACGAATCGATTGCTCTCGTCGAGTTCTCTACGGAAATCAGAATAAGTTGCGTCGAAACCGTCGCATACTCTCACATTGAAGTCGGGTTGAAGATTTGATTTCCACACAGGTGGCGCCGCGTCGACGCGGGCTACTCCTACGCCGCCAAGGACGTCCGCGTCGGCGACGCGACGCTCCTCCTCGCCTGGGTCCAGGTCGCGCCGCGGTCCGCGCTCTCGCTCCGGCGGCTCCGCTTCGACGCGGCCGCGCGGGTCCTCGCGCAGTACCCCGCCGACGGCGCCCTCGACCGCCGGCGCCTGCCGACGCTCTTCGCCGCCGCGGACCCCGGCGGCGGCGAGCGCGTCGCGAAGACGTCCGCCGCGCTCCGCCAGAGCGACGTCACCGCGACGTTCACCGTGCCCGGCGGCCCCCCGCGCGGATGTCCACGCTTCCACCCGACTTCGACGCACGCGACGGTTTCGACGCGAGATCATCCGCCGCGTTTCGAGAACTCGGCGAGAGCCATCGATTCGTCCAAACATGAGCCGAATCGACGTCGATGTGAAGAGCGTTCTCGTTCGGTCGGGAGCACCCAGCTCACCGTTCGATTCCCACGCAGGCGGCCCCGCGACGTTCGGCGTGCGCCTCGGGCCGACGACCTGCACGCTGGCGTCCCCCGGCCGCGCGCCCGGCGAGGCCGCGACGCTCGCGGTCGCCTGCGCGAGCCCCCTCGGCGGATGGGAGGACGTCGCGGTCGTCCTCGCCGGCGAGCGCGACGTCGAGGTCCGCGTGCTCACGGACTGGACCTTCCACGAGGTCTTCGTCGCGCGGGGCCGCGTCGCCATGACCGTCGCCGCGACGTCCGACGGCGACGAGCTCCCGGCGGACATGGCCTTCGCCGTCTTCGGCGACGCGCGCGCGCGCGTCGAGGCCTACGCCGTCGCCGACATCGCCGCGTCCGAGGCGGAGGTCCGCGAAGCGCCCCGGTCCCTACCATAATTCAATTCAGTTTATGCTGTCTAACGGATTCAAAGCGGACCGAGAAAAGCTCGGATCGCCGACTGTTTCCCTACTGGCACAATCTCCTCGACCACAAGCTCCGCCAACCGCGGCCGCCCGCGGCATCGCTCCCGGAGCGTGGACCGGAGCGGGTCCGCACGGCGGAAGCGCCCCGACGACCAGGGGAGCGATCGGCACACAAGTAGCGCCCTAGAGGCGCGCTACTTTTAATTGTTTTTCTGCTGGCCGAAGGCCAGCCCCTCCTGAGACCTCCTGCTGGCCGAAGGCCAGCCGATTTTTTTTGCTATATTTCGGTGGCTGGTCTTCAAAACAAGGGTTTTTGTTGGTATTTTTATTGATTTATTTTGCGCCCGAGACGGCAGGCGCGACACTTTTTATTTTAGATCGCTGCCCTGCCGACGACCGGCGAGTGTCGTATAAAAAGATCAGAAGGCGACGTAGGGCGCGGGCCAGAGCTGGGGCGGCGGCTGCTGGGCCGCGCCCGGCAGGGGCGGCTGGAAGTCGAAGGACGGGGCCGGCGGTTTCGCCGGCTGCGTTTGGGGGGCCTTCCGGCGGCCGCGGGGCCGCTTCGCCGACGGCGCGTCGGCCTGGTCGGTTCGCGGCGGCGCGCCGTCGGGCTTGGGCTCGGCGCCGCGTCCTCGCTGGCGCTGCTCCTGGACGAAGGCCGGGTCGACGGCGCAGGCCGGGTCGCGCTGGAGCTCTTTGAGGCGGTTCGTGACCGCGCGGTACTCGTCGTAGGCGCCGTCGCCGCTGTAGACGCCGACGGCGGAGACGCCGACGGACTTGCGGAGCGCGCGGCCGAGCTTGCGCTTGCCGAGGGCGAAGACGACGGGCACGCCCATGTCGCGCGCCGCGGCGAGGATCTCGTCGACGGACTTGGCGAGCGTCGAGCCCTCGTCGATTTC